ACCATTCCTGTGTGTGTGTTAAAGCATGACTCGTGTGTGAGACGTCGAGAATCCATAGTCTAGTAAATGGATCCAGATAGACTATGAGCGAATGAGGCGAAACAAACCACAGCATTTGTGGGTAAAACAGACTGGTACATGTGTGGTGGCATCCAGATCAGGCGTAAAATACGAGACAGACGGTCATTGTCCAGTTTCAGACAGAACTCACCATGTACAAATACCGTACGTGAAGTTGTATTCAGTCGAAGCTGAATTTGACCTGGAATGGAACAAGGCATGGTGATCATGTTAGCACAGTCAACGAGACGTCAACTCTCTCTGAGAGTTGAAACAGCTTAGAAGAGGAGTGAATGGGGAAAGTCTTCATTGAACCATGAGGATCAGAATAGAGGTGCTTAACACAATTTGTCTACGGCACGACCGAAATAACAAGTAATGTGGAAAGAAAACTGTTTCGCTCCATGTCACAAGGAAATGTGAAATGATTAATATACTATCGCGTAACCTGTCATCACAACGTAAGCTTGGATTCTTTTATCACTATAGAGTGCAGTGTAGAATGATTTATTGAATCACATAATGGATTATCTCCAAACCAGGCACTGGTCATGGACCGACAATATTGTTAAGATGATCAGTTGAGAGACCGCGTGTGAAAATGAGTTTTATTGTGCGACACAATGCATGTGTGTGTGTGCTAACAGCCCGAGTAACATTCTTGTCAGGCTTACAGTCGTGAGCGGAGTGAGAGATGTGAAACGGGACGGACCATGGGGAGGGAACTACAAGTTGTATAAGAGCTACTTGTGTTATTTTCCCCTCCCCAATTCCTCTCCTCTCATTCACTGTGAACAACTCCAAAATGACATGAATTACGACATCAACATGTCACCGGTAGTTAGAAAATAAATCATTATAAATGATACTTTGTCCAAACGAGAACGCTTCCATGAAACACCAATATTTTTCGAACCATACAATGGAGTCGGTTATTTTCCCACGCCTTTCGTTCTTCCGCGTTTGGAGATCGTCAGCTCTTCCCCACTTTGCTCTGTCGTCAGTGTTCAAAGTACTATTTGTCGATAGCTCTGGTTACACGCAGAATGAACTTGGAAAATAAAGCTGAATGGAAGCCTGTGTATGTTACTCTGGGCAACTATAAGTAAACTATTCTTCGATCACAAATCCTGTATAAAAAGGTTTAACTCAAGCGAAAAAGAAAAGTGTCCTAATTATGAAGTGAATTTTGTTATGCACAGAGCGAACGAAACATGAGCTGAAAATCTAGGAAGCATTCCATGCCTGCCTGGACCTGTTTGTGTGTCTGATCAGCAGTGTGAGTCTATCGATCAGACTGGGGATCGCGAACCTAGTATCTTACCGGTAGAGCACAATGTGTAATCTGCAGCTATTTCATCCAGCTTGTTAAGAATAGTCAGCAGAGCATACCCACTGAGTTTATGGTAACTCGAACCCAGGCGTGAGGTGTTGTGAGCCTTCCCCCCCCCCCTCCTCCTCCTCCCCCTACACACAGATCACCACCAGGTTATCTCCTATTGGTTTAAAGTCAACCCATTTCTATGAGAATTCACAAACTCTAGGGTCTGTTGTATAATGTGATCTTGTTAGTCATCATGCACACAAATCCAGTCAAAATGAAAGTACACTAAAATGTCGGAGATAAGTGAGCTTCCAAGAAGTGAGATCAACAAAAGACAACAATTCTCAGACATGTTTAGTGGAACATCAAAAATTAAGGTACGAGCTACTGAATCAAAGAAACTTCAGCGATAACAGAACCAGACATGGCAAATATAAAATAGAAGAACTTTCGATAAAATTACTCTATTGAATTATAAGTGTGCCACAGGAAAGCTTACAAAGAGAAGAGAAAGTAGGATGCATTGTTCTACCCAAGCAGCATTTTGTGTTAGTGGGTCCCCGTGACTATAGGGTTCACCTTTTCTGCTATTCGTAGCTGTTAAAAATAGCTAATCCATTTTTGCAAATGTCTCATTGAGTTTAGTAACCTTCTAAAGTGTATACGCGTTGAGATACGGAACCTAAGTCAATGAACTGCTATGATAGCCTGTTCAACAAACTTCTATTACAATGTGCACCATACAAGTTGACGGAAATCACTGTTACAAGAGCCGAAAAATCGAAACACAAACAATAATTATTTTGAATGTTACCCGTTACTTTCATCGAATTTGAGTAGCCTTCAATATTCGTGAAAATAGCTGCCTTGTGTTTGAAAACCCTAGTCATTAGTAAGAGCATTGACTGTCCTTTCAAGGTCGCTTCCATGATCGAAGTGGATGAACAGCCGGGAGGGAAAACGGACGGAACGGGAGTGTCGACCTCACAAACACTTTGAATGGCGCGTACGTGCGCGTGGATCAAATAGAAACTCGTCCTATTAAACGAGGAGGTTCTCAACAAAATAACCGAACAATACTCACCTAGCACCGTTAAATCTATTGACCTTAAATGACCCCAGGCACGCGTCTTTGTTTCGCAGGCAACTCAATCCGCCCGGTTGGAGTGAAACCGTGAGATAAATATGCTTAAGGAATTAGTGACAGGCCACGTGCAGTGCATGTACTTGCTGTTTGTCCCATGTGTGAGATCTAAATCCTCCTAACAGGGTAATACCAACACTGTGAGTAGACGAGAATCGCTTAGTATCACTGCACCTGAGTTAGTGCGTTGTTCGCATCCAAAACTATTAGAGAAATAAAGGCTATAATGATAAATTAGAAGAGATAAATGATTTTTTGGCGTGCTGCATGTCATACCGGAACCCATCCCGACGGTATGCAGATCCATCGTCGCTTCATGTGAGACCATCCTCTATTGAGTAGAATATGTAGAATATAGGACAGAAATAGCAATCGGAGTTCGATGACCCAAGCAAATGATTTCGCCTCATTGGTTCTCACATTTCGCCTGTGGAAACGGTCGTACTCTGAAGATTCGTTTGGTAAATGGAATGAATTTGGTATCATTGACTGAATTTCAGAGGTCTTGCTATTTTAGTCTAACGGACGCAAATCCATAGCAATCTGGCAGATGAAGAGGATGCGGGTCTCTGAATTCAGATTATCCGTTATAAGTCTCTCTCCGATTATTCCGCATGTCACTGTCTTCAGGATGAAACTGCAACGTTTCCTATTTAATTTCCCTCTCTGCGCATGATCTTTTGTTCTCCTGTGGAATGACGAGTGGTACAGAGTGATTTTTATCGATAATTAAAGTTCAACTTGAATGGCCTGCTGTGGAAGTGATATCAGCAAAGAAACTGGGGAATGCAGTACTCGAAAGGATTGTGATGTATGAGCCATCGTATGGTTTGTGATAGCAGTGTATGGATATTCTCGCTTACTGTCAGCTTGTTTTGAACGGTCAAAGAATAATTTGGCAAATAGTGAATCACCACGTCAGCTCTCGTTGATAACGTTGCCCTGGTATTTCAGTTGTTGTTCCTGTTCCCTGTCATTTATTTTTCTTCAGTTCCTCCCCTCACCCATTCTAGCTTCATTGTTATCGCGATGGCATCATGCTTGTTCCCAAGCCAGTATTATATCTTCGAACCGGCAAACCGCTGTTAGGCCTTGAGTGTCGGAAGCCACGATACCGATTATCCGCTCGCGGAATTTGGCTCCTGTCCCGGCTATATGCAAAAGCGCGGAATTAGACGCATGAACTCCGTTTTCAGACGAGGCTTGTTCTGCTCAATGGTCAGACACCCTTTCTAATAGAACAAAAGTGTAACCTGGCTTTTGGGACTTTATGCCACTCAGATACCCAAACGAAATAACCAAGGGCGAGTGTTAAATAGCCACGGAAGGGTTTGCAGTTACATAAAGACAGGTGTATGCTCAAAAAGCTGGTTCACCATGGGGAACAAAATGTGAACCGCAGAACATTTTCAACTTTCAGATATCCATCCTCCGACTGTTGGTGAGCCTGATTGGTCCTCTGGAGCCATAAGTTAACATTTTATCAAGATCATAAATGACTTTACACTCCGGATTACCTTGACCTACATTTCCCCTGCTCACAAAAACATTATAGATGGAGTTTCCAGTACATACTGCACTATAAAACCCGTCGTCCAATCGGTTGGAATGATTACTAATCCTTATCAGCAATTAACTGATATCGAAAGATTCTAGCAGATAAAGTACACTGTTTAAGTAAATAACTGAGTGGTGAGTGCTTGGCTCATTGATTCCACTAAGACCAGCTCAGTATGGTAGTCTTTCTTTTGGGAACTTATACAATTCGCCGACCCATTTTGAGTTCCTTCTTGTACGTGCCATTGTCCGTATTTTAGTACCTCAGACATGCATCGATCATCGTCCTTTACGCTGGTTTTTTTAACTTTTGCTGTGTTATCGCTTTTCAGTGCTTTTCCGTTTGAGGAATACTGCTATCCATTGCACGGCATTGAAAATGCCAAAAGTTCACCATCCGGGTGTTCAACTCTTATTCTAGTTAATGGCTAAGGTTGTCAGTCATCACAAATGGCTCTGCTGTTCGATCCTCCTGACTTTTGTCCATAGATTAGAGTTTATTCATCTTCACTTAGTATTAGTCACTGTACACAGCCAAAGTAGCCGAGCGCAACAGTGAATGATATTCGACACTCGTGGTCCTTTTGTTGGATCTCAACACTACACTATACAATGGTGCCTTTAGACAACTAGTTCACACGAATGCCCATTTTTGGTTCATGGAGGGAACATATTGGTGCGGATGCTCTGGAAGAGTTTCGTTGATCTGGAGAAATGGACAAATAACACGTAATGGGAACACACAAAGCGACAAACAAGCTCGTTTAAAATGGTTCATCGTCACGAGGAACAGTTAAGAACCCACTACTGAACATCCGAATTCAACCCTCCACTTAAAATTAATAACTTTACTTGTCTATACAGACTTGGAAACAGATTTTTGCAATGATCAATCTGATCATTTTGAAGACTTACCATGCCACATGTATCTATCTAAATCCTCAGCTGCGGCTAGCCCATTGGTCAAATGTCTGTTCAGCTTTGACAGTTGTTGGACGTCGGAGTTGCGTACCGGCAATGCATGTGATACAGTGACGGGAGCGTTCCACAAGCTGGGTAGCAGCAAAGATCCGTACGAGGCGAGCATCGGTAGGAAGACGCGCGACTGACAGCAAGCCGTGAGTAAGACTAGGTAGTTTTGTATTTGGACCGAACCAATCCACCATGGGTGTCGGTTTGCCATGCCTCGTCGTGGCCTGATTGGTCGGTTGATAGTCTGGTTTGCATGTGAGTGTGTGTATGTGTGTGTGTGGGATTGGGAGTGGGACAATAGGCAATCCGGCGGTATTCGTGTTTGTGGGGTCCTTTGTTGTGTCCGTTTGGGTTTGTGTGTGTGTGTATTTATGGGCATGTGGCACAAGCACATACGCACCGATGGCTCACGCATGCCCACCGCTGGGTGACACAGGATTTCGATATATGTTGTTATGTCGAGTGTGCGAGGGCAGTGTGGGAGTGGTGAGGAGGGAGGAGACACTGTTTTGCCTTGAGGGGGAAATTCTCGAGCTAACGAACGAAGTTTGTCACATTGCGCGAAATAATGCTTGACCGAGTTCACGCTCCCCGCATCGCATTGTCCGTTTAATTCTCTCCACCGGAATGGTTTCAGTTAATCCGAACGAATTTTCACAAGGACAGGAGGACAATAATAATGTAATCTTTGTAGTGATGCGTGTGCGTGTGCAACGGAAATACATGACAAAAATAAACCGTTCGACAGGGGCCATTCGACTCAATGCCTTGTCAAATGAGGAAGGACTCGGTCGAACTGTCAATAAAAATGCCGTAATAGTCACGCAGATTTTCCACTCAGATTGCCCCATAACTTTGATTAACTCGTCAGCTACTTGCAGTCGACACCAGATTTGATCTTGGAGAATAACGTTATTTCTTCCGGTTGATTGCTTTTTTGGGAGTGTGTGTGTGTGTGTGTGTGTGTGTGTGTGTGTGTGTGTGTGTGTGTGTGTGTGTGTGTGTGTGAGTNCGAACGCAGCCGCGCTTTTGCTGTCACACTTTCCATAACAAGCTGAATGGTCATGGGAATGACTGAGTAATAGGAAATGACAGTGTTACATAGTTTCTCACGATCTTCAGCTGCATCATATACAAGGATGAAGTGTGTGGTTACTAGCAGATTGCCGTCATTGAATTAAGTCCAAGTAATTGTTTCATTGTACCTAAGTTGAATATCCAGCATCTGTCGTGTAACGCTCTAGTGGTATGAGCAAGGTGTGCATGCACGGTTGTGTTAAGTGAACCATGCAATCAATTCAGAATAGTATTCCATTAAGATATACCCCAAATGGCAGGTTTCTATGCCGTTGCTCTCGTACATAGGTGCTTGTAATGAGCACATTTTGGAACTAGTGGTATACTTTTTATGAAGTCATTGTGAACAGGATATGTGATATAAACAGCTCTTGTGAAATGCAGCCTCGAATTCAGGTGTCATTGGTCTACGAGCACTTGCAGGATACCACTATACCATAATTAAGATCATGAACACGACAAGAGTACCCGTTAATCCTATGATAATAGATCTCTCGACTGAACGATCTGAATAAATTAAAATTTTCGGGACAATAATGCGTAAAATGTCTGTGGCAGGCAATTCATCCCGAAAAAATGTACAGCTAAATGATGGTCCGAACGGATCTTTTGAGAGTTTTACTTGTATTAACTTCAACATTCAGGCTAAGAACGAATTTCGACCGACATTGGTAACACCGGAAAAGCGTTTCCTACAATGAAGAATACTCTAATAAATAAATGAAAGTAGTCTGATCACCGACCTATGAGTCTCATCTGCATCTTATTCCTCTACAAGAGTTGAAGACTGTTAACGATTACAAGCATTAGACCTTTGAAGCCTAATTATCATTCTGGTTTCAGATGGTGAGATCAAGTTTTCGATCGAATCAGTCGAACACCGCTGTTTATTTGCCAGACGGCTTCGCACACTCATACAACGAAGACGACCACATTGGTTTCGTCACATACTGCGCAACACCAACCATGGTCTGAACAAAGACAACATAGCGTCGTCTTTCAATCCGAATAGATGATGTCAGCGTGGTGGGCAGGCGGATGTTTAGTTCAACAACACACACATGAAGAGTTGGAATGCCCTAGTCTCTGGTTTATACATGGTATTTGTGGCTGGAAGGTGAAACGAATCTGAAGCGTGATACCGACTACCGAGTGTAGATAGCGATAATTTGAGATATCATCAAGATTTCAACCGTGAAGTAAGCTAAAAAACAATGTAAATAATGTAAATGTAATAATGTAAAAGGCAATGTAAATGTCTCTTTACTTCCCTTATTATTTGTTGAATATACAAATGTGCAGTAAACTTTCAGGAAGGGGGCTGCGGTCATACAAAGGCTGCCTGGGGGAAATACAGAAATAGGGAAGACGGATGGCAGTGGAGCGGCTCGAACCCGGGACTTCCGGGTCGCGAGTTGGTGACCTAACCACTTGGCCACCATCGCTACTGTACGAGTATGGGGAATAACTACCAGGAACAGGATACGAGAATTTTAAATTCTTTTATCAACTACATAGGTTATAATTTTTCTCTCGGATCCTTTTCACATCTTACAACCCAGTCGGATGGGACAGCTGCAGCGCTCAAAGTGTTAGCGAGTGAGCTTGTTTTTGACAAGGTTACCGGATATTTGATGGATGAGGACGCGAAAACAATAACAATAGAGCAATATGATCAAATTTCATTATCATTTTGATCTTTCACAGGGGAGGGGAGGGGGGACGTGGCAACCTCTTTTCTAGTCTTTCCTCAACGCAGTTATGAAAGGACCAAACATCCCCTGGAATTAGATTTAATCGGTCTAAATCTGGTTTACCCAAATCCTCACGCGTCAGAGTGTCTGGACATGGGCGGCAAAGTTTATTCAACCGGCCACATATATATGGACAATACAGCCTGATCCGGGTAGGAGATTACACACCCATTGTCCCCGTTTTGTGCTGATCTCGAACTAGTCCAATCCACGCAGCCTTTCTTCGACCAAAACGACGCGCACACATAATCATAGCTCACCTCATCAGCAGCATCTGTAGATAAGCTGTCACTGGGTCCACTCACAATGACTGTTCAGTCTGGTCTGATTAAATGACATTGAGATTGGATTTTGTAACCGGGATAGAAATTGCTGGTTTTGTCCCGAGTTGGCCGATAAGACCGAAGTTGCGGAGGGCAAAACAGTCAGGCGCTAATTGCTGATCGTGCATAACCACTCCATGTCAAAAGAGATCACGGAGAAATCAGTTCATGAAAGGAAGAAGAAAGAAAGAAAAATCACACTATTCTGGAGTTTCTGAATTTGTCTACTTTCTCATCTTACATGCCGAGGAAGAGCAGACGAGACTTTCAAGCCTCCCTAACCACTTCAGAAATAAAGAAAGAAAAACAGAAAGCCGGCTCTCATGACCATTGTGATGATTGTCTCGTGGCAAAGATAAGAGGTCATGGAAAAATTATCTGTGACTGACCGTTCTTCAGACTCCAGCTTCACCAACCCGTCTGGGATTAGAATACCGGACTCATCGCACCGAAGGCGTGTGTGTTACCACTGAGTCGACCTGCTCACACTGTGACTGACCGGAATAACCAATTCATATTCGTACAGATATCGTCTTCCGAGAGGGATTCATTTCTTTTAGTCCGGTGGTGGTAAAGTGGTTAAAGTCATTAAAATAGCCATCTGAAGGTTTTGAGTTGGAAGCCCACCACTGCCACCCGTCTTCCTAATTGCTGTCTTTCCCCAAGCAGCATTTACATAACCGCATCCGTCTTCCTGAAAGTCGAATGTACATCTTTATATTCAGTAATGAAAAAAGCAACCAAAATCATTCGTATTTATTTATAAGATGCTCAAAATGGACGGTGGATATGCGCTACCGATGAGTTCTAATAAGAACGAAACTCGCGTCCAGTACCTTTCGAGTGCACGGTTGAAAGGTGATCAGTTCGAACCAATAGTCAATTGCTTTGATCCAGTACCTTCAAGGGGAGACAAGGTATGTCGCCTGTGAACTCCAGTCGAAAAATGCCCGCCAGTTCGGTACTGCCTCACATATCTTTTTACTCACTTTCGAGTAACCCAGCTGGGCTAGATTCAATTTACTTCATATTTATACTCCCCCCCTCCAGTATCATCAGGGTTCACCGCTCATTCCTTTCGGTAACAATCCACTGACAGGTATGCAAACGGTGACGTCTACAGGCAAACGAAATCCAAGCAAATCATTGGTACTGTCTGCCCCCCCCCCCCCACATGCACCAGTTACGACTGATGAAATCGCCGATAAAGAAAGCTCATAGATTATATGCAAATAGTGATTTGTGGTAACACAGAACTATCAAACCGATTTCACATTTCCATTCAAATGTCAAACCACTCGTATTACTATTATTATTGTGCACACGGAACGTTTTTTTCAAGATTCACCTCAGTTCTCCACTATATAGTTCTACAGCCATTTCGCACACGGACACCAATTATTGTCCATTTAGTTTTTAGTTCTGCATTTCGCATGAATAAATTTAAAAAAATCTATTGGAAATGGTTTGCATAGTCTATGCAGTTGCACAGACCCCAGAATCAGCGTTATGCTGTTCAAGAGTGAGTTCAACTTCGATGCGTGTTTTTGTTCTTAGAGGGAGGGAAGAACCAATTTATGCGCGATAGGATTGTGTGATGGCTCAAACTCCTCGTCGAATAATTCGTCCCATTCAATTGAATCTATAAACCATTCCGTCTCCACTGGCTGAAACGTTCCAAATCCCCATTAGGGATAGAGACTTGGTGAACAAACTGAACACATTCAGACCGGCGAATCACATCCAACAAATGAGTAACTTAAAACGTTGATAGTGTGATACTGTTGTTTCATGTTGGTCGACTCATAATGATTTATTTTGCCTAGCCTTGCACTCTATCACATCAAATAGAAACAGCTCACCTATCGAATTAGACTGACAGAGGTTATTCGTAACCTATCTTGCCCTGTAAAGCGATCGTGTTACGCAATGCTCAACTATTGCATTGCGCTCTCAAGGCT